AATCACACAGCTCTAAAAGATAAATCACCAAAAGTGCAGTTTCATCAATAAATCACAGGAGACGTCGACGTCACATTAAAAGAGTCTGACATCAGCGAGGCTTGGGAAGAAAAAAAAGGTGGGCCAACTCAGAAACAGCACACTTAACTTTAGTCAGATGTTACAAACTCACATCCAAGTGCATCATTTACCAGATTAAGGCTTTTTTCCAAATAACAAATCAATTTTATTTTATTTTCTGAGCTGTAAACTCTCTCAAGTGCTGCCAAACATTTGTGATTTGTTAAACGGGCTGTAAATTCTAGGAAAAGAACAAGCAAACATTACCAGCGCCAGAGGTTGAAATCATAGGCATAAATAATCCATGTACATGACCACAGAGGCAGCATAAAGGTCCGGGTATTTGCGAGGTTATTAAGGATAAAACCCTGAGAAATGTGGGTGTTTTCTCCTTACTTAGCGCAGGAAAATAATCAGGAAATCTTTGAAAAGGTTTTGTCTTTGTTACAAAAGAAGCAAACGTGGCCGCAGCTGCCAAAATCAGGATTACTTAAATTATCCTATTAAACAAGCATGGTTTTGGATTATTTTCTACAGTGCTCTAGAGTTTTTTTATTCAGCGCTACAGGAAGCGTGTGAACACGTTTTTAGCAGTTATTTTCAAAAAGGATCAAAGGTGAGAGAATTGCAGGTGCGGATGTTTACTGGAGGTGTGCGTTAACGCCAGCCTCACCCTGCAGGCTGCAATTCTGCTTCAGTAAGCACGAGATTGAAATAGTTGATTAATTTCACTGTCCTCATAAACACCTTCATAAATCAACTAGAGGCAGTTCAGGTGAAACAAAACGAGCAAGATCCTGTAAATCCGACACACCCTCCAACCCCTGACATAGGGCGGTGCTTGGCCAGGTGGTTTAAACATGAAGCTTTAAAAACCCGTCTGGATCTGATCTCTATGTTAGAAAATCACTCATCCAAGCACAGACTCTACCTGTCGTTTCACATAAAAAACTAGGCAAAGGCTTAAATGTGAAGGACAATCTGAACAGCTGACATGTTTGGTTCTAGAAAAACAGGGACAGAAAAGAGGCTGGAAGGTGAACACAGGTGGTAGAAAAGTGAATAAACGCTCACAGGACACTGATTCATGTTAACGAAGAAGAAGAAAATATTTCTATAGCACCTCTCAAGATAAAAATCACAAGGCGCTTCACAAAAACAAAAAAATGTAAAAATATAAAAAAGAATTTAGAAAATGATTAAAAATATATTTAAAAAATATACAATTGTGATTAAAAATGTAAAGAAAGAAAAAGTGAATAGGAAAGAGGAAAATCTGTGGATCCTGAGGAAGGTGGAATAGGTGGGGAGAGCAGAATAAAGCGAGTGGTGAAGAAGGTCATACAAAAACCAGCCTGAACAGGTGAGTCTTAGCTGCTTTTTAAAAGAGACCACTGAAGGTTGGTTTACGCTTGACGCGTCCGCGAGGTCCGCACGGCTCCGTGCGGCAAAATTGTGTCATTTTTAACAACCACGCCCCTCCACCTCTCCTCCGCACGGCCCTAAATTTCCGCACCGCTCACCTAGGAAATTTCCTAACCACGCGAAAGGACGGACGCAGAAAAACATGGCGGACTGGCAAGAACTAGTTATGGCAGCATTTGTAAATGCAGACATTTGTATGATTCAGCTCTCAAAGTTAATAATTCTTGGAGAGAAATAGTTCGCACTGTCGGAAAAGACGAGGACGCTGTTAAAAAATGCTGGAATGCCATGTTGTAGACAACAGTAATTTTTACTTCTACTATGGTGTAGTGTTGGATGCATGCCGTAGAGCTCCATGCTGCCCCCTACAGTTTGGGAGAATATTGGCTCACCGCAAAGACAAGCTGCATGAACCATAAACTCTGCAAGTTGTGAACCGCGTTCCATCCGCGAGCCGCATCACCAAGCGGAAAGTAAATGCGTCAAGAATAAACCAAGCTTTAGTCCACTGATCTCAGGCTAAGGGAGAGAGGTCCAGAGTCTGGGGGCTACAGCAGCAGATGATCTGTCACCATTGACCTTTAGCCTGGTGCTGAACAACCAGTAGGCTTTGATCACTGGACCTCAGGGACCTGCTGGGGGTGTAGGGACTAAGAAGATCACCAATGTAAGATGGTGCTTGTCCATGTAAGGCCCTATAGACCAGAACCAGGATCTTGAAATGAACCCTGAAGTTGACTGGCAGCTAGGGCTGCTCAATTAATCGAATTTTAATCACGATTACGATCTGAGTTTTGAACGATTATAAAAAACAAAACAAGCCGATTATTTGCTCCTCCCGCTTGCGCTGCCCTGAGTTGCAAATGAAGCGCTCCTCCACAGTGTTGCCAACTTAGCGACTTTGACGCTATTTCTAGCAGCTTTTCAGACCCCCTTCTTGACTTTTTAATCCTAAAAGTACCTAGCGAACACCTCAGAAACATCTCTGGTAACCCTTAGCTACTTTCTGGATAACTATCGTCGACGTTTCCTGCAGGTTAGCTAAACACTCCGCCTGCGCTCCAGACCGTTCTTCAGGACATTAGGAAAGGGAATGATGTAGTGATGTGTCGGTCGCTAAAGACAGCTCTCGGAGCCGCCCTGCTCCCTGTTGGAGTAACCAGAGTGAGTGACACACACACCGCACCTGCGGACTCCTGAGCCGCTAAAAACAGCTAAATGTGCGCGTGCGGCGCGCTAAACACACGTGCAGCTTGCCCCTGATTGCTGTGAGACCGGGTTGGGGGGTGGGGGGTGCAGCTGTGGTTGGGACAATTATTACATTAACTGATGGACTTGTAAATAAATAGTTTGTAAATAAGGTAGAAATAACTTCCTCACGCTGATAAATAATAACTAATCTCTCTGAGGACACGGTGCTAGTGCACTCTCCTACAGCACCTTGACACAACTCAATAAATGTTATGCAACATTTTGTGAACATCAATTTATTTGCATTTATTTGTTATAAATGCCACTGTATAATTCTTGCTGTCAGTATTTGCAAGATATTGGTATTTGGTTCTGTACTGGTTAGACTTAAATGAGTTAAACCAACGTCTACAGCCCTTGGGTCATAGACTATGAGCTATAAGTATATTGGTCTTTTATACAGGGAATCAGGAGTTCTTTTAGTGATCATCTTGTTTCTTATTTTTGTCCTGATTGTGCCCTGAGCAATTTTATGACTGAATAAAAACAAATAAAATCAACATAAATTGAAAAATCGTCCTAAATAATCGTGATCTCAATTTCAGTCACCATAATCGTGATTATTATTTTTGCCATAATCGAGCAGCCCTACTGGCAGCCATTGAAGCTGGAGGAGAAGCGGGGTGATGTGGGTGTGTTTGGCTAAAGCAGGCTAACTAACACACACACATTCTTGCATAGCTCTAATTTCTGTTGATTTCATATGACTACAAGGAACATCACAATTTTTATAGTTCTGTTCAACTTGAACTTATGATCGCAGAAGTAAAAACTTCCCCATGACAGGTGTGTTGTTGCTAGCATAGCGTAGTTTTCAGAAATCTGGAACCAGCAGAATTCTCTAGTGGGAGCCAGGATCGAACCTGCAACCTTCAGATTACTGGGCAACCTGCTCTACCTCTTGATATGGTGCCTTCACTGACCAGGGAGACTGCTGGGTTTTATTTAATTAGTGCGTTCAACCCTCCTCCCTGATTTTAAATCAAAATTTTTAACTTCAGACTGGCTGAATAAAGGTCTACTCTGATCACCAAATTACGTTAGATGTATCTCTGTTTTCTGATTCTGTTACTATGGCAACGGATGCAGGAAGCGTTACATAGTCCTGAGCAGGCTAGTTGTCCAGAATAGAGGTCTCACATCAGACACATCTTCCTTGAGCCAATAAGTGTTCTTAAAAGGCGTCCATCAGTGAGTCGTCTCATTTCCCCCAGAGTTACGTTTGACTTTGAGCCCAAAAGATCATTTTTATTGGTTTTCAAAGTCGGTTTTCCCTTAAACGTTTTGCTTATTGTTTCATCTCATGAGAATAAACACTTTAAGATTATGAAGTATCAAGATATAAAATTCTGGAAGAAAAACTAAGTATGAAATTTAAGGTAAACATTATGTAGCATGAAATGCTAATGCCTGCTAACTAACTGTAGACGGGGAAATAATGAAGATTTCTCTTTAATAAATGCTGATAAATGATTGGATGTCATTATTCACGAGATGCACAAAAACATCAGCTGGTGATTGAAACTGGTGGATATAGAGCATGATCAGCATCTTCTGAGATAACCAAACCTGAGTCGGAGCTACATTAGGGTAAACTCAACCAGACTTTTTAGAGGAAAAGTCGAACCTGTCACACATTATTTGCAGCAAAGATCGTATAAATAAAAAGCTGATGGGAATCTCTATGTGCATTTAAACAAATGCACACTCCTGTGCTAGCTTGAAGCGGCGAAATAAAAGCCCACATTTTCTAAAACGTGTGTTGTGTGCACGTTGCGGTTTCTAGGGTGAGGCCAGCAGTTATGGACACTTCCCTCTACACCCTGCTCAGATGGTTGTGACAACACGAATCTCCAGCTCAACGAGACACAACCACATAGAAAGCAGAAACTTTATCCAGGGCGCCGACCCAGTTAGAACAACCCTCTCTTCCTAAAAACAGATTACTCGCACCTCACATAACCAGTTTGGAGCGGGGAAACCAACACAGCTACAGTGTTTCATTTGTCTACATGTAAATAAGCTCACAGTTGCACCTTTTCCCCAGAGATAAACTAATGACTAAAACCCTGGAGGGAGACAGAAACAGCATCATGAGGCAGAAAAAGAAACAAAGTGTGTGATGTTTGGGGCTCAACTAGAGCGGAGGGTCTGCTGAGTCACTGAGAGGTAGATGGTGACTCAGACATCTGAGGTGATTTAACCATCTTTAAAATGTGTCCAGAAAGAATCAAAGATATTAAAATGAGGTTAAAGAAGTTCACCTGTCTTCTCCTTCAGCGTGCTGACTCCTGAGGCCCGCGGCGACCATGAAGGCGCTGGCCTCAGCTGACATCCCCATGTGGCCGATAGCGCCCTCTCCACCCACTGCTGCAGACGCCCCCAGACGAGGAAGTCCCAGCAGGCCTTGGTGCTGGATCAGAAGCTTCTGAGCATCCTCCAGCTGGGAACTTTTGATGGAACTCCCCCCTCCAGGAGCGTGGGTGAAGTTAGTTCCCAATGTGAGGAGAGGCTGGAGGTCAGCTTGCAGGGTAGTGAGAGGCTTGTAGGGAATTCCAGGAATGGTGGCTACTGGGACCGGAGCTGTGGGATGCTGGGTGTGAAGCTGGGGTTGAACTGGGAGGGTCGGAGGCGGGATTAGCGGACCCTGATGAGACGGTACCTGCTGTGTGATGCTGATGGACTGAGATGCTGGGACCCCGGGTACTGCTGATGAGATTCCTGTAGCAACAAGAGGAAGTGGGGGTGGGACTTGGGTCTGAAAGGGAGCCGTAGGTTGGATAAAGTCTGGCTGTCTCACACTTCCTGGAGCTAGGATGCCTCCTGTGTGAAGCTTCGGAGCGGGGTAACCTCCCTGGGGTACAACAGGAGGAGGCTGACCTACAGCCACTGGTTTCTGTATGTGAGCCATCCCAGCCACCTCCTGGGGCGAGACATAGCTGAGAGGAGCAGTGAGCGCCTGCGGGGGGCTTGGCATGGTCTGTGGGCTGGTGAGGTCCTGGCTTGGAGGCTGGTACGGCTGCAGAGAGTGAGGTGGCTGCACAGCAGGAACACCCGGACTAAAACCAGCATTTCCCACCTCAGCCTCTGCAATTACATCTGGAGCTCTGGGTGCCTCGGAGGGGGCCGGATGAGGAACCTCCTTTTCATAATACTCCGTGCACGTCCATCTTCCTTTACGGAACGGCTCAGAGCTGGTGTCCAGTTTAACCACCCTGAAGCGAGAGCCAGTGGCGGTCTGAGAGTGTGTGTGCTGTGTTTGGGTGCTCCCTCCTCCAGCAGATGCACCATCACACCCTGAAGGGACAGTGGCCATCTTTGCACTACTGTGTCCATCACTAGGAGCTACTTGTGGACCTGCTGCTACTACAGGTTTGGGGTTGTCCAACACTGCTGTCCTATGACTGGAGCCAGCTTTGGTCGACATAGCTGGGCTTGACGTGGCAACGGATGCAACTGGAAGAGTTGCTGGTTCACCTCCACCAAGGCTGTCGGAGTGGTGATGATGAGGCTGGCTATGGTTTTGAGGGTAATACTGGTGATGCATGGACCCATTCACTAAAGAAGGGTGGTGATGGGAGGCCTGAAGGACGCCATGAGGCTGTAGAGGCTCATTTGGGGACACAATTCCAGGTGTGTCCACCCCATGGAGACTGTTCAATGTCTCATCGGAGGAGCTCCTCTCCGGCACACTTGTGTCGGTGGCCTTGGAGGTGGAGACGTCCAGCATGTCCGAGGACGACAGGTCCTCGGTGTGTGACTCATCCATGTCGTCATAGCTCTCCGTGTCATCCGCTAAACTGTTGTTGCCGCTGATCTGAGCGGAAGTGACGCTGGTGATCTGGAAGCCGCTCTTCTTCTTCACCTGGGCTCCGACGCTTTGAGCCTGATGATGCAGGGCAGGTGACGAAGAGCCAGCCTGGTTTAGGTTCTCCTCAGCCGGGTTCCCTCCGCTGCCACCGGTTGCGGAGGAGGAGGAGGAGGTGCCGCTGCTGCCTCTCCTGAAGTGGAAAGCCGGTTTGCGGCTTCCCGTGCCTGGAGGGTCTCCGGAGACGTCCTGGTGGTGCATGTTTACCTTAAGGCCGACAAGTCACGTGATTTGTGTCCTTTTAGAAAAATACTCGTCCTAATGCTTGTTTCGGTCCAACATGTCAGACGTTAACAACGTGATAAAAGCAGCAGATAAAAAAAAATTGACTGAGACTCAGCTAGCCAATGCTGCACAGCTGCGGTTAGCCATGCTTGTTAGGACACATACGTCCCGTTTACTCATAATTATATACACCAGCTGACATGTTTCGGACTATGAAGCACCCAAATGTTAATTAATCTGAAAATAAATCCAAACTGAGTGTTAGGAAGTCTTTCTCTTTTAGCTGGCAGGAGTGTGTCGCAGGAAATCAGCCGTCGCATCCATTATTATTCCTCTCCGGGAGTCTTCCTTGCTCACCGATACACCAACCGACACACAAACGGTCTCGACCGCTGACAAGCGATGTCGGCTGAATAATGTCCGTCTTAGTAGTGATAAAAATTGCTCGGCAAGTCCGTCTCCGGTGTGTCTTACCGTGTTTGCTGTATCATTACCGGTGAAACCGTAACGTCTGTCAGTCTCACAGGGAGCAACGCAAACACTTACCCGGCGCATGCGCAAACCTGCGCCTTTTCTGTTCAGGCCCCCTTCGCAAGAAACAGGCAGCGTTCAGGTACCCAAGTGGAAGCGGATTTTACAGATTCATCATTCCAAAGCGTGCATCTTACGTAGATTTTAAATTGGACTGAAGTAAATATTTGAAAAACACACACATTTCTTAATTATTTACTTCAAATTGTATGTTTAAAGTACAAAATAACTGTACTAATTGTGTAAAAAAGTAGATTTTTCATTAGGCACGCGAATGCAGCTTGAAACTCTGGGTTGTGTTTATTTTTTTCTTCGGGAACCTACTGGGCTGGAGTGCTACTATAAACGGTCTTTACAAACAGCAATGATTGATGTTTTTACCTTAACTGCGACCAAGCCTGACTTTCTTTATTAAGGAAACAGTTCTAAGATCTCCCTGACCTTTTATTCTTTATTTATAGAAAATACAGTTTTGCAAAACAATTTAATTAAAATTAAATATCCTATACTTGCCTCCAAATACCCTTTTTTGTATGCCTTCTGGCAATTTCTTTTCTCATATTATGCATCTAAAAGTTGAGCAGTGGTTGTAACTGATGCTGCTCTAATTGGAGCCAGTGAAAGAAAGGTGTATTTATTTATTTATTTATTATTATTATTATTATTATTATTATTATTATTATTATTATTATTTTAAGTTGAGACATGCCTGTCAAAGGGTTTGACACTATTCATTAAAAACGTCAGATACACCTGCAGAAGAAGGTGGATTCTGGGAAACTCCCACTGACAAGTGTGTATACAAAGGTTGCATGAGGTTGGAAATACAAAAAATGTACAAAGAAATACATTTCATGGTTTTAATCAAAGTTTAGCAGCTTCATTTTCTATTAAAAGAAACTTGGAGTGTGGAGCCTGTCTAAAAGCACATTAAATAATATTCCACATGTAAGCTGTGCTTGTGGCATGAGCCACAAAATGTCCCTTTCCTTTTGCAATGAAAAGCAGGAAGACACTTTCAAAAGTGATCATTCCCCCTGGTGGGGTGAAAGTAGAAAATCCCATCATTCCAAGCATCATTGGTTGAATCCAAACGGGAAAGACTGGTTTAAATCGCTGGCCTCTTTCTACAGTCACTGGTTTGGACAAATAAAAGCTGTAAATAAACTTATGAAGCCTGCTGAAATGTACACACTTAAAATCAAGACACATAATTTTACACTTAAATTTTAAGATGATAGGCAGAAGGGAGAACGGGTTGTCCAGTAGTCAGAAGGGTCAATTCCAGCTCCCCATGCTGTTGTTGTGCCCTTGGGTCGTAGGGACCGGAGCCAAAGCTGCTCAGTGGGCCTCTATGTCCCAGAGCAGCTGCGGTTACATAATGTAACTTACATTGTACAAACCAGATTCCAAAAAGTTGGGACACTATACAAATCGTGAATGAAAACTGAATGCAATGATGTAGAGGTGCCAACTTCTAATATTTTATTCAGAATAGAACATAAATCACGGAACAAAATTTTAAACTGAGAAAATGTATCATTTTAAGGGAAAAATATGTTGATTCAAAATTTCATGGTGTCAACAAATCCCAAAAAAGTTGGGACAAGGCCATTTTCACCACTGTGTGGCGTCTCCCCTTCTTACAACACTCAACAGACATCTGGGGACTGAGGAGACCAGTTTTTCAAGTTTAGAAATAGGAATGCTCTCCCATTCTTGCCCTTGACCCTTATGCAGAGATTGTTCCAGATTCTCTGAATCTTCGGATGATGTTATAAACAGTTGGTGATGAGAACTGCAAAGTCTTTGTTTTTTTTGCCGGGTAACACCTTTCTGATATTGCTCCACTATCTTTCTGTGCAACACTGTGGGAATTGGTGATCCTCTACCCATCTTGGCTTCTGAGAGACACTGCCACTCTGAAAATCTCTTTTTATACCCAATCATGTTATCAATTGACCTAATTAGTGTTAATTGGTCTTCCAGCTCCTCCTTATGCTCAAATGTTCTTTTTCCAGCCTCTTATTGCTACTTGTCCCAACTTTTTTGGAATTTGATCACACCATGAAATTTTGAATTAACATATTTTCCCCTTAAAATGATACATTTTCTCAGTTTAAGCGTTTGTTCCGTGATTTATGTTCTATTCTGAATAAAATATTAGAAGATGGCACCTCCACATCATTGCATTAAGTTTGTAATCACGATTTGTATAGTGTCCCAACTTTTTTGGAAACCGGTTTGAAGCTCATCACCACCACTAGGTAGTGAACGTATGTGTGCATGGGTGAATGACTGTTGTAAAGCATCTTGGGGGGGTTCTAGGACTATAGAGAACGCTATATCAAATATGGCCTATTTGTCATATTGCATGGCTTTTTAGCTTAAAAACAATAAATAAAAACACATGCCGCGTGTGAGGCTCGAACTCACGACCTTCAGATTTAGCTTAGAAACAACAAACAAAATATGTGCCCCGTGTGAGGCTCGAACTCACGACCTTCAGATTATGAGACTGACGCGCTGCCTACTGCGCCAACGAGGCCGCCTGATAGTCGTGGTTTCATTGGTCGTTAAGTGCATGATCAATATCCATCCGCGTTTTTTTTGTGACAGTATGAACTTAATCTTGGTAGCGTGAACCTATCACGAGACCTCCTGCTACCAAGATTCTTTCTAACAAGAATTTGAAGCAGTACGGCCACTGCCATAAGTCAGGGTTTCATTTGTCTTTAAGTGCATGTTTGATATCCATCAGCGGTTTTTAGTAACAATACGACCTCAATCTTGGTAGCGTGAACCAATCACGAGGCCTCCTACTACCAAGATTCTTTCTAAGAATTTGAAGCAACGGCCAATCACGACGAGCACGGAGGTTTCTCTTACTGGTGCTTGCAGGCTCCTGAACTGCACCACTATATTAGTGGTGCTCTTCTGTCACCTAGTGTTCAGCAGTAGAAAAACGTTGCACAGAAAACATGAAATGAAGTGAGCACATGACACACTAAGGCACAAGAGATAAATCATGAAAAACAAAAACAAGAGACAATAATAACTGTAGTGTGAAAAGAAAGTATAAATTATAGTAACTCCATAATCTAAAAAAATGAAAATAAATACGCAAGTGTTTCCACATCTTTGACTGGTAACATATTGCACTGACACAGGTGGTTAGATTAAAAACAATCACATTTTTAGAATTGTTCTGCCTACAAACAAATGTATAAATCAGAATCAGAAAAGGTTTATTGCCATTGTCAGTGAACAAACAATTCACAAACTAGGAACTTGCTTTGGTACTAATGTGCTACATATAACATGAATAATAATAAGATTAAAAATAGAATAAAATAGAATAAAACTTTCAGCTGGCAAGTAATGGTAACATGGGCGATGACGTGACGCTGTGTCGAGTACAGAAGACCAGCATGGTTGTGTGTTTATAAGCTATTCACAAGTCTAATGGCAGATGGAAAGAAGCTGTTCTTATGGCAGGAGGTTCTGGTCTTCAGACAGCTTGTAGGGTGCTCACCCTCACATTTACAAAAGTCTAACTTGCACTCGTCCATCTTGGTTTAGCAAGGCATCATTATAGGTAACCTGCCGCCTACATATTACATTTCTTATAGTTAGTCTGCAGGTGGGCTGTGTACAGCGGTGTACAAGACGCCTTAAACAAAGTTCTCTTTTCTTTATCAGAACAAGGCCCAAACTTACGAGTGAGTGTATTTCCCTGAGCATACAACATACGACTGTGCCTACACATGACATCATCATCTCTCATGTTCTCTGTGAAAGTATGACCAAGATATTTGACTTTCTTAGTTACACTAATCACAGTCTGACAGATAAAATTCTGGAAACTTCATTTGCTTGTGCTCCTTAGCCCTGCAAAGCATAACCACATTTTTAGCTTCAATATACACGATGTTGTGTTCTACAGCATAGTCAGAGCAGATATCTAACTGCCGTAGACCAGCTGTGCTCAGCAGGGGCACCTCCAGAGAGTTTTGATAGGGGTGGCGAGACGAGGTCAAAGAAAATTTTGGGTGGCACACCATATAGGTCCTTGTGGTAAATCTGGAGGGTTTAGCCTGTGACAATGTATTGCATTGCTCCTTTATTTTTTTATTTATTATTTAAACAAAAAACAAAACAAAAAAACAGTATGTATCCAAAACATTTAAGTTACATTTAAAAAACACAAACATTTTAGAAAAACACATTTCTGTTATTTAAAATGTATTTATTTTATTAACCTGCTACCAAGTTGGGGCAGCAGTAGCTCAGGTGGTAGAGCGGGTTGCCTCATGATCGGAGGGTCATGGGTTTGATTCCAGCTCCCACCAGGGGTATCCTGCTGATGTGTCTTTGGGCAAGACACTTCACCCAACTTGCCTGTGTTAGTGGTGGTCAGAGGGGCCGACGACGCCACATGGCAGCCTCGCCTCTGTCAGACCTCCCCAGGGCGGCTGTGGCTACAAGTAGCTTACCATCACTAGCAGTGTGTGAATGTGAGAGTGTGTGAAAGCACCTTTGGGTGTCTAGAAAAGCGCTATATAAGTTCAATGCATTCTTCTTCTTATTATTATTTGTTTCATTCACCTGTTGCTGTGTTCACAAAAACTATGGAGATAAAAACTTTTTTTAAATGCTGTGCGGCAGAAACATATGCGTTTTTTAATTCTGATTATTTCTTTACTCCTTAATTGTATTATTTTTTATTTTGTTTTACAATTATGTCTTGGATAAAAAAAGATGGATTTATGGTTTGACTGACCACCCCTTGGGGGCGCCATTGGTGCTCAGACTTAGAAACCACTTTAGTCATCTGCAGACGTCAGATGATTGATGTCGTGAAGTTTTATGGTAGAAGGACCCAAAATGCAGGCAAATCCAGGAGAAGTTTTACATCTGTGGAGCAGGAGCAGGAGCATACAAAAATACAAGGATACTAAACACATACAAGGAACCGACCAGGAGCTTCTTCTTCTTCAATAATTTAGGCAGGCTGAAC